GCAGGCGTTATGATAGGTATCATTACCCCTTTAGTTGACTTCGTGCTTCACAGAAAGGAAGAGGAACACCAAAGTGACAAAAAGTCGAGAGGGGGGGGGCAGAATAAAGATTCACAGACATAAAAGAGACAGACAGACACAAAGGTAAAAAAAGATGAGGTGAGTACTGTGAAGTAGTCGAATATGACATACAATGGGGTCTTGGTAGTTTGAAGTCAGAAGTCAACTGCCGATTAATAGACTTTTTTGCCGTATGAGTATACGTTGCCTAGGGTGCACCACGTGGAGGTAAGTCTATCGCACACCCCCACTTACAAATATTAATGAGTTAGAAAGATTCGCGTTTCGACACAATAGGCAATATACCATCATTATTATTTCTCTCTTTTTTGTTTATGCCATAACAATAAACAATTTAAGGAAACACGCTTGTGGCTTTCCCACTGTTCGCGCGATCTTAGCTCCCCCCCCCCGCAATGATAACTTCGCAAGGAGTTTGCAGTCCCCCAACTTTCACAATCCCCTATTTCGCGTCTCTCATGCTTTTTTGAACAAGCTCTTTATGTTCTGGAAAATGTGTTTATTTATTCAAGTCACCGTTGATTTTGGTACACCGTGAGTGCGGAATCTTAGTGAGCACGTGTAAAAAAAACACTACTGTCACCTTTAACGATTCTGGTTGGATTAAATATCTTAATAAATACTCATTTTAGGTATCTTCTACCTTCCTTTGTTCAGGTATTAAGTAGCGTAAATTATTCGCACAAGATTTGAGTGTTTTCTTTGGGGGTGGGGGAAGGGGGGGGGTTTAATCCAGTACTTAATTTGGTATTTGTTTTAATTTAAGGGAATTCAACTCATCGACCGATCAACTATCGATTGACGATGGTTTAGATGATGACAATGAAGACGTTTCCGACTCAGACATTGAAGGTAATTTGAACAATTACTTGCCCAACTCTTAATCCATAAACGCTAGTGATTACTTAATTATCCACAACAAATCAAAATAACTTTTTTTTCATTTGTATTCAGAATGTGGTTCTATTTTATTTAAATCCAGTTTCTAACCAAAACTTCTCTTTTTCTTTCTGCCCCTCTCCCTTCCAATATTTATATTACATCGCTTATAATTTTCTTAACTTACTTATATTTAATGCGCTCAAATTACGAACTAATGATCACGCAAAATTTTTGAAGACGAACCTTATCAACAAAATTCCTCTTCGCCACCTCAATTCTAACGAAAACGATACTAACGATATTAATTGTCCCATCCCCCTTCCTTGGCCCGTTTCTATTCGCTGCTTGAATACATGCGTGCGTTAATGGTTAAAGTGCGCACGTACGCCTAACTTTTATCCAATCACGTGTCACTCTTTGCTCAAATTATCACCCAATAATATCTGTATACATGACCCACAGCCTATCAGACTATGCCAATAACTATTATTTTATTGTGATTGGTTGTTTCAGCGTGCGCCAATCAATTTTTCCCATCGTTTTACTTTGCTCCCGACATCTTTCTGTTTCTTCTTTGCGCTATTTAGGAGTTTGGAATAAAATTAATTCTTTGTTACTTCCCATGATTTATGGTGTTGTTGGATGATATTGGTCAAACAGGTTGAGCTAGAGCATGAAGTTGCCAAATTTTAGATAATTCACTTCATAATCTTGCCTTTTGTTACTATCGCCTGTTGTTTGCTTGCAAGCATTTACATTAACATTGAAATAAATATCACCTGCTCTGTTATATTTTTTTTCTCTGCCTGGCTCATGCTAATTATAAACGAATTGTGGGTGTTTGCCTGAGTTTAGATATTGTTTAAAAATGTTTGCGGAATGGACTTTTATTGGAAAATTATCAACTAACGTTTATATTACTAATATCATAACAATGGCCATTAAGATGACGTGTACTTCACTAATTGTAACTAGACGCAATGACGGTTTTGTTTTACCGATCCACTTGAAGGAGTCCAGTCGAAGTTAGGTGGTTGATGATGGTGTCTAGTTCGGACTGTTCTTACTGGCAAAAAATCTTTTCTCTTACATGATCGATTAGAAAGCCAATGGATCAATCTCCACAGTTGCACCTGTAGTCCGTTTTACATTATATCTGTGACCTTCATGCACTAATAGACCTCTAAAAATCATCCTCAATTTAGTAGAATAGGGCTTGGTCGTATATTAGTTAAATCGTACAGGAATAGCACATCTAATCATTTAGTTAAAATCTAGAAATCTTGGAACGTAGTTGCAATCATTCTCTGACAGGTCTCTTAAATTTAATTGGTTAAACAGTTATTGCGTAACCCTCCTTTTTTGAGTTAGTGTTCAGCTATTAAATCTCTACCTAGCCGAATGACTTGGAAATGCCTTGTGACCGGGATGGAAGATCCATTCATGAGCGTGTTCCATATCTTCTTACACTTCTTCCGTAAAAGGCAGATATTATTCCACCTCGCCAACTCCCATATATCAAAATTGCATCCCACCCCTATGCCACAGTTGGGGATCGAGGAAACGTAGGCAAGATGGACTAAATTGAAGTATGTGTTAACACTAATGCCAATTCAGGGATAGAAGTACTATTCAGCAAAGGCATGTTTTAATGTATAGTTTGCACGGCTGTTTGCAAAGAATTTAGGGCTTGATTCCTCCCCTCCCCCCCCCACCCCCCACCTGTTTCTTTGTTCAGCTCTGGAGAGGGATATCCACGCATATCTTTCTTACCGATGAGTAGTAAAACGTCTGGCGACTAACTAAAATCCCATTCATAAATGCCCTATTCTTGGAAGAGATTAGTCATGACATCTGAGTCACTTGTTTTGCGGTGGAGTAAGTAGCCGCATTTGAAGGAAGCCCTTTTTTTACGAAACTCCTTATCCAATCACCTTTCACTTTGATTGGAATTAATTAACCCTGTTGATCATTCATTTTACTTTATGGGCATCAATTACCCATTGGTCCTATGACCACCTGCTTATCATTCTAATTGTATTGTCGACCACACTGTGGCATTGGTTATAACTATTTTAATATCAAATTTCGCATTTGCTTTTAGTGCACTTCTCCATACTTTAATGACTAATCTATCGGCATAAAGTGCTCTCAATTTTGGAGTTTAAGTTAAAGAAGCTTTTTATTTTGGGCATTGATTTTATGCGTTCATGTTTCATTTGAAGGCGTGTTTATGCTGTATCTGCATCTGCACATCCACCTAATCACTTTCAGATTGTCACTCTGACTAACCGTACGTTGCATTTCTTTACCATTTATTTGCTACGTCAAATGTAAATCTACATACCTTTCTATAATGTCTAGGACGGCTTTTGGTTTGTTTTAATTGAAAACCAGCATTAAATTCGCAAAATTGGAGTGCAAACGTGTGTGTTAGAGAATCCTAAAAATACACACACACACAGAAGCAGTGAAAATAGGAAGATAAAGATTTAAACTTATGTCATTGGCCATGCTTCTAGCTTATGTGCACACTGCCAACTAATTGCTATTATTCGGCGGGGTTAGTATTGGAAATAATTTATGCACCCTATTAACTCACGCTTATTAGAGATTACATACACTGCTCAATAGGACTCACTACTACTACTTCTACCATCAATTTTACTATTCCTGTATTCTAACGGCAATCCGTTATGCATTTTTCATAGATGATGATCCACATCCCATGCATGCAACCGCACTGGCTGCATTCAATGGATCCAGTGCTCGAGAACTTTCTTTTCAACGTGGAGCTGAGCTTTTCCTCTATCGACGTCTCAATGAACATTGGTGGGAGGGTCAACTTGCTTCAGCCGGCGGGCCTGATGCGCCACGCTATTTAGTCCCTCACTTGTACATCAAACCCCTGACAGTTACTCAATCTAATGATGGAAGTAGCGGTGGTGGTGCTGGTGCTGTACTTACCAATCAAACTCTAGAAACCAATGGCAACGATATCAACGCTACTACTGCCAGTGCCGCTAATGGAACAACGAGTACTACGGATGAAAGCACTAGTGGGGTGGATGATGATGGACCTGCTACCGCTACGACGACGTCATATTCGGAAAAAAATAATATGGAGGTGGTGACATTGGGCTCACCTCCGAAAAAACCTCCCCGAAGATGCTCGATCAGCAGTGTGACGAGCGGTGGGACTGAAAGTCCCACTCATATTGCCCCTGGTATAAATGAATCATCCGCTGAATCATCGGCTAGAATTAAAGATGGTAAGCTACATGAATAATGCGTGAGAGCTGTGGCCTAAATGGCTCCTTATTAACACCCATCATATGGACACGTCAAGTAGATATGGAAAATGGGAATAAGTATAAATAGAGTACGTGTAAGTGACCGTTCAATCTTTATGCCCCAAAACCCTCCACCTTAAGGAATGACCCAGAGTGTGACCATGGTTTGACCTATCCAATGCCTAGTTTCCTCCCGTGTTCGGTATCTCGTTATTTGTATATGCAGGCTAGCATGGCTCTTTGATCTAACAGAATTCTATATTTTACTCTCACTTTCTTCCTTATTTTTTTTTGTTTTGGGGAGTCTGTTGTATTCTATTGGGCTCTTGGAAGTTAATGCATGTGGTAAGGAGATAACTTTATGTTCATTTGATCGTTCTTCCAAAGCAGTTTTACTGATAGCACTTAGTGTCACTTTATCCCTTATTAAGCAATGGATGGTAAGCGACGACATATTTTTCATGTACTTTAACTCCCCGTTTCTATTGCTCTTGTCAAGTGTGGGTGATCTTCATTTAGTCGCTGTTTGTTATTTGAAAAGATTGTATTTTGTCATAAATCCAGGTCATCGAGTGTGTCCTAGGAACATCCCATTGATAATTTAACCCCCTAAGATCATGCGAAATAGAGTTTCAAAATGGCAGTCTCTTTCTGTTCCAACAGTGCAAGACTTGCTTCCGTGCTCAACCAACTTTTTTATCTTGGGTAGTTTGGGACTGGCATGCTTTCGACACGCATTGATTGAGGATTTAACCAACCCAGGTTTTGAGCTCAGTAGCTCATCGCTATATACATCCCTATTAGCAGCAAGAAGTGCTTACTGTGCGCCACAATAATGGTTATCGATTCGTATGGCTAGTATAGTAATGATAACTATTAATTTTTCGACTATAGAAATCTTTTCCACTGTTACGACACCAGAGTCTTCAAAGGGTGTATTGCATTTCGCTGTCTCAACAAATTCCCATCGATCTCGCAGTTCCTCACCAACATATGACAAGACTGAAGCTGGTTTGTCAACATTCGCAAAAGTGGAAGACGTTCAATCCAGCGTCGACGTAAAGGATTCTCCCAGTCTTCTCAGTGAAGGCGGCACTGCTGACTCGCCAATTATGACTCGATCAATGAGTAGTTCTCCTCCACCCCGTACTGACTCCTCTAGTTCACCTCTGAGACGTTCAGGAAATCGTGGAAGTTGGGCTGGAGTAGTCAGTTCAGCAACAGCAAATGCAGCTCTAACTGCTCCTGGAGTATCTGTGTGTTCAGCAATTACTGAACTTGAAACTCTACCTGAAGGCAAACCTGCTGATCTAAAACCGGGCAAGAAGATTTCTGTGGATTCTATTGAATCATCAAATGGACAAAACAATGCATCCTTGCATGATGTAGACTCTGCACTGGCTGAGGTAAGCTAAGCAGTTGGCCTGAAGTAACCAAATCAAGAAAACGGTTAAGTAATAGGGCAATCTGTGTCGACAAAAAATTTGCCATTTTGTAGTTTAATCGCGAATGTAAAATGGTATCAGTTTAAATATCATGAAGCTTTTGTTGTACGTCAATGGAGTATTGTTTATATTTCAATTTTATTGACACCAATTCAAATTGACGGAATAGTGGGCGAATGAAATTAGGCGCCATTTCTCAAGTTTCCAATTAAACGATGACCTCGTAAATGTTAGCATTTTTATTGGGTAAAAGCATTCTGTTTTAACTTCTGTTAAGGTAAATCAATGCTATCTACACAGATGAGATCGTGTATGCGGTCAGTAGTTAAAAATTTGACCACTCCAACTTCCAGCAAGATTACAATAGTTAATTAAAGTAATCCAATCAACTATGGTATTCATAAAGTCTCCCTATGATGAAAGGTCGTGCAGCATTTCTACGCGTAAATGTCGTATCGATCAAACTGCATGCCAATTGAAAACTCATCAACTCAATTCAACTGAGTGGGATTACTTGTTAGAAGGATATTTGGTGTTCTTATGTCAGAGATGATACAGATTGATGCCTCTACTCGTGATGAAGACAACAGAAATGTCTTTTCTTCATGAGTTTAGATGGCCTATATTAGGAGTGTATCTCCCAAATCAATTAACAAAATTATACTTTGATTAAGGCTTATCAATGTGGCGAGTCCATTTTATGCCAGGAATATCTTTTCTACGCTCATCTAGGTGATGCGAGGTCTAGCCTGCTTAGAGAAAGGTCGATCTCAAGGCCCAGAAGCAAACAATGCAGCGGAACAGCGTTCACGCGAACTCGAGCAGAAAATGCGTCTTCCCTCGGCACCCAAACCCATTTCTGAAACTCTACTTCTAAAAGATCGTCCCAAACCCCCGAATTTCAACAAAACCACAGCTACCACAGAAGAATTCCAACTACAGCTACAAGAAGATTCCCCAACAAGCACTACAGACACCTTCGCAGAACAGGCCGGTGGAACAGTGCGCAAACGAGTTAGCGCGTCATTTGTAGGCGGCATGGAAGCAAAGTCTAAATCCCTGTTACCAACTTCGGCATCGCTGAGTGCAGATCTAGGACAATCCGAGCAGGAGATTAAAGCCCCCGCTGCTTCGACCACTTCTTCAACACGATGGTCTACTCGCAAACTCGCTGTGGAAAAGGAGGGAGGAGAATCGGGAGTCAACAGCGGTAGTATGATGAGTAAATCGTTCGTAGTGGAAGGACGAAATAGTGGCGGTGAGAAGGAGAATGTTACTTCAAATAGTGAACTTGTCACCAATAGCACTAGTACACAGGAGTCCCCTGTTCCGATCAAACGTGGGTCAATAGCAGCACGTGTGGCCGCTTTTGAGGCGTCGAATGCGTCCACTGCTCCCCCAATTCGTCCCAGTTGGGTCAAGAAGATTTAATGATCTTCGTGCATTTTAATGAGTCGTGGTCTGTCTCACTTTTCGCCCCTCCCCTCCCCTCCCTCGCGTTTTTCCTCTTTGCTTCGTTCCGTCGTGGCTACGGAAAAAATTAATTTATCACACACGTCCCCTCGGCTTTTTTCTCGCTTCATCCCTTCTTACAATATCTTTGACAGCGATTGCGAAAATGGTGTTTCATGCAGTGCCACTCGCGAAATCAACTCGAATCTACTCTTTTTTATTATATATATATACACATATATATAATTTCGGCAAAATATGTAATTTCCTTGTACTTAAATACGATTCGAAAGCATGGCGTGACTTCTTTTTGTAAAAGACACGAGGTCCAATTGAGTTTCCTTTGCTTCTTTAACCGAGAGGAAGAAATGACGAATGAGTTTGATGTATGCACACGTATAAAAGGGATGACGGCAACCATTCATCAGCCAATATGCAACGACTAGCTTAACAATTCCAAAGGCATGGAACCGATATATAGATCTGGCGTGGAAGGGAGGCCTCTGTTGCTTCATTCGTTTATGAGTACTAAGTGGAGGAAACTGTAGCCCCAATCAATCAATCAGTTTTGTTAACGTACAGGTACACAAACTTCGCGACTTGGAGATCTGCGGGTGAAGTCAGTGTATTATCATTAAGAAAATACACATTGTGTCCGGATTGGCCAGTAATTGTTGTAACAATTGAGAGTAGAAATCCAGAACTCGATAGATGATTACACTGAAAATATTTTTTCTGCTTAGTATTAGATCCTAGTGTTGCATCGATTAGGAATGAAAAAAATGGTAATGAGACCGGCTGATAAAGGGAACGAGGGCATCAGTAAAGATCATACCTTAGGTTAGCTAACCATGTGCTATCACAAACGCCCAACAACTATTATACACAATGAGCAGCAACTTGAAATTACTCCAGCGTGGATCTGACACTCGACCATTCCACGACCAGCATGCACGCAGAATTGGTAATAGACTAAATAAGCAGTACATACAATAAAACGGATCAATAACTAAAATTCACGGGTAATTCAAAATTCTTGAAAAAAACAATAGGGTTTATACATATAGATATATACAAATAAAAATATAGCCACAATTATTCCACGAGAATGAGTTCATCCAAATTCCAATCTTCAAAACTGCCATCGGGGAGATATCGCCGAATAATAATCGGAATCTTGTTGGCCCGCAATTCCTTCTCTGCAATTTTGAGAGGATCTCGTTCGCCACTTAGCTCAACCATGACAGGAGCTGACATGGAGAGCTGAAGTGCACGGGCTCCCAAAACACGCGCCCTTTCGTATTTTGTGAGATAGGGAGTAGTTATACGTTTGCTCTTATCAACTGGTCCTTTAGGTTGAATGTTAAGGCCTTGCTGCACTCGAGGCGGCTCGCCAGAAGTCACATACATAACGTCTAAAAGGAATAATGTTAACCAAAAATAAGCGACTTGACATTTATAAACTTAGCAAATGATTAAAACTAGGATTATGAATACCTCCTTTAGCTTCAGTTTCCGCTTCAGGAGGTTCCTCAAAGGGTTCATCATCGACATCAAAGTCACCACCATCGTAATCGTCATCGGCCATGATCACGACAGAAATAACGAGAACACTGCGGGTGAGTTTTATTAAACTTAAAGAAATATTTGTTTTGTGTTTGATGCATTAATAGCAAATTACTTTTTGAAAGTATCTTTAAATTATTTGAATAGTTTAGATTTATTTATGAACGATATGGGATATTTGAGATCCTATTACGAATAGAAAAGTATTATTTGCATAAGATAAAGAAGTTGCATTTCTCTGACGGAAAAGCCGTCACAATATTCAAAGATGTTTGATCATTTTTAATTTGAAATTATTTTTTAGTTATATAAACAGTAGAATGACTTTTATTAGTATCCGAGCGCTTGGTTTAGAGAGGCAATCTCTAAGATGCTGTCTACACAATCTATTTTCATCTATAATTTTGTTCTTTCTTTAGCCCCTAGCAGTTCCATGAAAAAAACATCCAATGCATTCTGCTAATCTACATTAATTTAACCAAAATTACCTCTGAAAACCCCGTTCTAACTGAAATAGCTTATATTCCGTTTTTCACAACTGATTTCATTTAGGTGAGGTTATTTTTCCTCCAACAATTCTCAAATTAAAAGCACCTATTTATCAGCTTTCTTATTATTTTATAGATCATATAGAGCAAAACTTCCTCCCTTTTCTTCCTAAGTGTGTCTTCCTTGCATTCATTATTCACACATCGTTAAATGTGTCCTCCCATTGTTTTGAGATATAATGGGCTCGCTAACTTATAATAAACCAAGGTTTTCTAATGACGATTATAATTTGAAGAGACATTCAATCTGTCACAAATCTTCATAGCTTTATGCTAAAAACTACAGTTAATTTAAGACCTTTATGTTTCCTTTATTCGTACACATGGGCTTATTCCTTTACTTAGGAAAGGGAAATGACAAACCCAATAAGTTTATTCTAAAATTAACGTGAGTTTAGATAAGCGAAGGAAATGGAGGAAATATTGTTTGTCCAAAATTTGTAACTTTTTTGTCCCATTAGTCGAACGAATTTCACATTCCAAATATAAGCAGTAATTGAAGTCCGTTTGTGACGATCTCTGGTTGTTTTTCAATTATTAACGCAATTATTGCTCAAGAACAATTGAAATTTATCCCACTTTCCGAAATCACTGTTTTACCTGCTTTCAAGCAAGCACATTTGTGCATAATTTTTAATTCTATCGTAATTTCTTTCTCCTTAAAGCGTGATCTTAGTTATAAGAATGGTCAAATCAACTCTACAGATCGATCTATTCGACACCAGCATCACACCTTTTACAGAAATTGCAATCACCGTTTAAGGCTGATTTCTATGCCTTAAAATTCTTGGAGTATTAACCTCATTTAAAGGTCAAGGAAATTTTCACAATTAGTTCTTTTCTTTTTAAGTCAACACTGTAGCAACCCTCAGCAAACAACCAACCCAGAAAAAGTATGATCAATCATATACTGACAGACAAATAACTAACACTTAATCACTACCCGAATGCAAACTGATGCTTTATTGTAGATGCTCTCAATAATGACCAAATTTCATTAAATATCCAAAGGGTCGCGGAGTCCCTCCCCCCCCAGATTTTATCAATTTGATCCTAAAAATGGGGAAAAATCGGTATAATGGGGAAAATTTTGTTAAATTTTAACTTTGTCTGTAACATTTCGTTTTCTTGTAGATATAATCCTGGATCAATAATTTGAATATATATTACAGCAAAAACAAATCGGTCTTAAGAAAACGGACATATTGAAGCTCGTTAATTCTCGTTTTCTCTGTCTTGAATTCAAGTTGTTGAAACATGGTGTAGCATAATTACATCCACCTAAACGTGCTCCACTAAAGTTACCTTTCAACTATATTTTTACATGTCTGCACTAACTTCATTTGAGACTCCCCCATGTCACCAAGACCTATGTGATCTAGGTAACATGAACTGCTATAATTAGGGCCACTAGAAACCATCAACTAATTTAGACATTTTGACATGAATTTGCTAACCACTTATAGTCTTTTGGCTTTACTAAAATGTTTCATTAATAATCAAATGCAATTTTTACATAAAATTAGTTAATAGTAAATTAACCATTCTTGTTTATTAGTATTCGATTTATATAAATTCATAAATTATTTTGAAATAGCCCAATACCTGTTGTGTGCGTATTATCTTTATAAGCTATGGTCGGTGACAGTGGGTATCTGGTGAAGTCTATACTTTCTGCCTGGCTCCTGGAAGAAACCTCGGGCAATTTGTCGGCATATGACCTAATAGCTCCTAACACTGTTCTCGTTATTTCATTAAAAGATCCAGGTGTGTCATAAATCTATATGGATTACGTTTGCAATTTTTTCGTGTTTTCTTAAAATATAATTTATTTTAGCAATTTTGTCGGGTATACCGCATGTGCAGGCCTTGGTTGAACACTTTGATTGCATTATTGAGTGGCATTCAACAGAAGGAGCAGCTACTACAGCAAATCAAAAAGTTGCAACTATATATGGCGCTCCTAGCGATCTTGTTCGTTGTGAGCTTCTAGTTAAAACTATTCTCTCCCGCGCTTCAAGTATTGCTACTTACGCAAAAAAGTTTGCTACCTTTTATCCCTTTAATAGCTTTAAATTCTGTCAGATTTAAAGATCTACTCTCTGAGCTTTCGTGGAAAGGTGAACTTGTATCCCCATTTGTTTATACACCCGGTTTCGCTCTGGTTGAAGAAAATGCAGTGTTTGCAGCCGGAGTACCAAGTTCGAGAAAACTATCGTCATTTGTACTTCCTTCATGCCATGTTATTGCAGCTGGTGGAATTAGTCAGGCTATTAATTCTATCCGATCTAAGGCTGGTGTTAATGCTTCCATAACCCTTGAATGCAGTACATATGAACTTGCATTAGCTGGAGCGAAGAACGGCGTGAATTGTGTTCGTTTTACTAACCTAAACGCTAAGGTAGTTATTGTATATGTTATGGTAAGCAATCAACAATTATTAGGACTTGGAAAAGTATTCAAAATTGCTAAAATCCGCCAAGTCATCGTTGATTATTGAAGCTTCTGTGGACATCGACGAGTCAAATTTGAAGGAGTTCGCATTACCAAATGTAGATGTCTTGACGACTCCAAAACTTTTCAACGGATATCCAACAATTGAGGTCGTTTTGCGATATGAAGTCTTGAAAGATTCCGAACAGATTCAAAAATACAAAGTTGGTAAGTTTATCGCTCGGTTTATCAATCTTTTAATAATCGTGCTATTCCGTTCTGGATAATAGCAAATAACCCTTTTTGAATCATCTTTCAAAACTTTTACTTTACCGAATTACCAAGTCTTTAAGAAGGAACATCTTATTATTTCCTTTCGGGGTTTTAACCATGCTGCTGAATTATTTGATCCCATTTGTTTAGTTTATATTATCATTTTTCTTGTTTGTAAACTGTCTATTCCCTTTGTGCTGTAAGTTTACTGTTTGAAAGATGTTTTGCCTTTCTAGCTTGAGTTAGCTGTGATCAAATGACTAGTCCTGTGAATAGCCAGAATACCTTTTTTAATGCCCACTATCCTTTTTTGACTTATTACATTTAAGCACAGATTCCGAGTGATTTAAAGTGTTTGCAGGCTGTCATTGACTTTCTAATGATGTAAATCACTTGTGTCCAATATGGTAATATAAAATTCACATTTAAGAACTAAGTTTGGGTTTGCTGCTATTGGTCTATGTCTTATCCTTCTTCCATCGCCTTTATCTCAAATCTCTGTGTAAATCGCGGGTCGTCATTGGATATACGAATACTTTTGGAAGGTGTACACATCGTCAAAAGTTGGTTTAGAAGGGAATTTTTTACTTCTCATCCAAGTCATGATTGTCTCATTTAGCATTAATTTCCAGGTCCAACAACTAATTTGGGTGGCAGAAGGAAAATATCCTGGACTCCTTACATTATCTCTGATTGTTCCGAACAAACAGCTGCATTTAGCTTTCTGTGATGTTGAGTGTGCATCCTTTAGTCATCAAACAGTGTTTGATCTCATTTTTAATGCATTTAATAACGAAATCGGTCTGGGTTATACCAAAGCTTTCTTTGTCCAATTCCGATTATATCAAGAGAGTGTAAGGGGTCAGAAGAGCAGAGTTAACATCTATTTGGCTTTATAGAAGTTTTGCATTGTTAACCATTCTTTACTTTTTTAAAAGAAGTACTGTAATTTCTCTACAAACACTTTTAATTAATCTCCTCAAAAGTATTTATTTGTAAACATGTGCAAATTGTATTCTACAATATGTGGGTTATGGTGCCTTGAAATTTTCTCTTATAATTGAAAATTCCGTTTTTAAAATACTAACGACAAAGTTTGAAGCCTAGCTCTAAAAAATCCTACCAACGTATCAATTTAAGGTTGTTTAAGTCAGGGTCATTTCAAGGTATTGACCTATCAGTGCAAACTTTTTTATTTCCAAAACTGAATTTTCTAGCCATTTTCTCCCCATTTCAGTACTTTGGATTTTCCTACCAATACAAACTTGCTTATCTGACTGAGCGATTACAATTTTAGTAATTTTTTTATTGTTAATGAGTCCGTTAAGTGATTGAAAGTTTAAATAAGTTGCCATATGAATTCCAAAATCTGATATCCTTCGTGTTTTAATGTTTATTGTAGGCCTGGCTTAATTGAGCAACTTGTCATATTTCTAAAAAAAATCATGTAGATATAAGTCCTGAAAACTTCTATGTGTGGGTGATAGTGTGGGTCTGAGTGATGAAGTTGTCAGGACTAGGGGAGGGGCGGGGGGGGGGGGGAAAGCTACCATATCTTGATTGAAATTATCCATTGTCAATCATTTCCGCCATCCCCGATGATTGTCTTTGTTCCAACTGCCTTTCCAAGTCCGGAGGAAAAAAGCAGAATACTTTTAACATAAAGACAAGCTTTATTTTATTAAGGATGTGTAACTACTTTTATAATCTGGGAGTGATGAGGATAGTTGGTTAGCTTGGCCATCATTAATCGATAATTCAGTTCACTTCTTTTACTGCGAGAGTTGATGTGGTGGCAATCAAATTCACTTCCTATTCTATTTGTCGATATCCTTCAAATGTATCTGCTTAGCAGAGTATGAAGGTGGGAGTTTCTGCGAGCATTCTCCCATGGTTAGTCGAGGGTTTTAGATACGCGCCTCCCTTACAATTTGTGAATCATTCTGATTCCAATGCATTATTTCCATTCCTATTGCTCGGTTGAAGATTTTTAAATCAAAATTAGATCGGCGGCTGTAAGCAATTAAACATTTATTTATTTCAAATGGCAGGCGTTTTGATAG